AGAAGGAGCAATTAAGAAATTATTAAATAACAAACAAATCTTAAAATTCTATTCGTGCTCGTTAAATGTTTACTTAAAACGATCCATAAATTTTCGTAGCAATAAGATTGTCAAAATTTCGTACATCCAAGTGTTACAATTTTTATTTATTATTTATTTTCTAAAATGAAATGTAATTCGGGTAAATGGAACTTTTGTCAAAAATTTGCCAGCTTAATTGTTTAAATTAGAACGAGATTTACAAAATACCAAAATTTATATAAAAAAAAATATTGAAAATGTTAACTCGTATATTTTAGCGAAAAAAAAAATTATATTCGTTTCGTGCAATTCGGTCAGATGTTAGAAAATTTCGTTTTCCGCTTTTGCGATCAAAAGTATATGTTTCGTTGTAGCGTCGACAGCTACAAACAGAACTTTCACGTTTGACCACAAGAACCGGATGGAAATGTTAATTAATGCTTAATACTTGCCGACGTGAAGTGACAGAGAAATCATTAAGCCAAGGCTTGTCAATTTCCTGATACGTTGATACTTGCAATTATAACTGTATCTCATAAATTTTGTACCCTTTAAACAATTAAAAACTTTAATATTCAAAGATAAGAAGAGTTAAAATTTTACTACGTGTATGGTACAATTTTGTATGATTTTCTAAATTCGTTATCTTTTTCTCATTTGCCTGAAATATACCCGATAATCTGTTTAATATACTTCGCACGTTTTAAACTGTACAATTAAAAATTTTAATGTTCGAAAGATAAGAAACGAAGCGTTAAAATTGTACTATTTACATTGCACCGTTCTTCGTGATTTCTTTTTATATTTACATTTTATTTGTCGCTGTCTGCTCGAAATATTCCCACTACTCATAAAATATTCCAAATTGGACTCACTGTTTTCGTTAAATAAAGAATATTCAGCAGTTAGGAAACTCCCTGAAATAATCGATACGGTCAAAGTCAACGCGAACTTGCACTTTATTGTCTGTCTACTGTGTAAATTGAACCGATTAAATCTTACTCGTACTTTGTCCGGGTAGAGTTGAACAAAGTTCCTCGGCGAATGAATCACAGATTTTAATAATTAAAATACACAGTCTGAGACACAGTTTCTTCATACATTTATGCATGAATATATACAACGAACAAAAACGAAAAATTAAATTCGATAAAAATAAACTATATTAAATATATATTTAATCACAGGATATCAATCATTGTGAATAACTGGAACGCTATTGTTAAATTCTTTTTCGAGAAAAAATGTTGCGAACTAAAATTAAAACTGGAATTGAAAGACAAAAAGTTTTCTGACGTTGAGAAAATGCTCACAAAGGAATTCCCGTTTTAAAATCCATTTGCATACGTATAGTTAATGCTACGTTCTTGTTCAGTTATTATTGATTACACATGCTGTATTGTTTTCCAGGTGTTGTTGGTTTTCCTTAACAATTCGCTAGAATTGTTATTCGAGCAGATTACGTAGGCTGAATTTGCATTCACGGTACTTCACATAACAAGTGGAATGTCATGACTTTGAAATGCCCCCCCTAGTGGAAAAGACGACCATCGATTTAATTAATCGATTATGATCGGAACTGTGGTTGAAATTCGAGAAACGATTCTTAAACGAATTAACCGTTAAATCTTATGTGGGATCCACACACTATTGTTCCTTTCTCCTTAAATTCGTACACTATTGGTGATACACTATAAACCTTTCCATTTATTTTTAGCTAATGTTGTTTTTGTTACACTGTGTTACTTTTATTTATGAAATAGCTTTTTCTTCTTTTTTGTTATATTAACAGGCTATATAGTAATATTCAATTAATTACTAAACTGATAGGAAGGTATAATTATAAACAATATAATATAACAATGATTGCCAATTATTAACGCGATGTTCAAGTGGTCACCCATCCCAAAATACTCGATCGATCGCTCCCAATGCAGCTGCACTTCGATGATCAGACAAGGAGCCACTGTTTTAAACATGCTATAACCACTAACAAATTTTATATTTCATTTATTCATACATAACCCTTAAATATCTCAATGTACGAAAAAATGGACATTCACCAGTTTCAAAACACAAATCAAAATTTATATTTTAACAAAACCATTGTCTCGTTAAAATGGCTTAAAAATTAAATTTTTAGTGAATCGTTAAATCTTATACCTATTTTTATCTTGACTATACAAGCATAGTTTAAAAACGTTTGTAAAAAGGTTAATTAGATGGCATACCTTTCATTAATAATACACGCTGCATAACCTACAAGATTATTCCCAAACCTATTAACTTAATGAGTAAACAATTGCAACGACAAATAGATACGAACGATGATGCCTTGAAACTGAATATTGAATTTCTTTAAACACGCAATTGCGGTTATAATACAGTTTCACTTATCGCCGTTGTATAAATTTCATATTTGTTTTAATTTTAATAATTTGTGAACAGTTTACGAAACGCGTAAACCGATACGCTCAATGATGAAAAATGAAAATACATGAAAATGTTTTTTTAAACTAGGTGTTAAATACTCATCGATCGAATGTATAAGAGATAATCGTGCACGTTCGTGTCTGCCTAATTTACGATTCTTTTCAATTGTTTTGTTTACGATCAAAGACTGTACAACGCAATGAGACGCGCATCCTTATCTGCGCAAACAAGATGAGCGTAAATCATGATTTTAAAATTCGAGGAACGATTAAACTAACTATTTTCACACAAATTGCGTCAGAGCATCCTACATAAACGGAACACTTGAAAACAAATGAGCAATCGACGAGTAGAAATACCAGTTTTCCTTCAACTGAAACTCTTTATCGGATGCGTCGCCATCTTATTATCACAGAGGAAAAAGAAATAAGGCTTGCACACCGTTCTCGAGGGGGAAGAGATTAATGATTCTGGAAATTACAACGGAAAATGAATTTTCCCGTTTAAACCAGTTCCGAGGAATTAAGAAATCCATTCTAATCCTTGATATCGAGGTACATATTTCTAATGCACTTCTCAGACGGGAGGATTACGATATCGTTTTAAATAGTGTTATGAGTACAGTAATACAAAATAATATTAACGAAATAAAAATTGGTTAAATAGATGATCAACTTATGAATGGATCAATTTTCTTTTTGTAATTACATATTTTTCCTCAAATACATATTACAAAATAGTAAGTGGGACTATAATAGCAGTAATTTAATGTAAAACGGTAAAATAATGGAGAAAAAATAAAAGACCAATTGTCAATAAACGTGACATTTTGAGAAAAATGTTAAATTAATAAAAAGTCAATATTAGAAACGATCAATTTGTGTTGTAAGAATGTATTTATATTTTTAAAATTTTTTAAATACATTATTAAACATAGAACATAAAGGGAACAAAGTTTGTAATATTCGCTAAAAGAAAAAAATGGGGAAATGACTTCTTTATGGATGAAACAAAATGTAATTGACGATCCAGACAGGATCATTATTGTACGATAAATGTACGAGACATGGCGGTATATGGGGTTGCAATTGAGTATAATGAAAACAGCGAAATAAAACTTGTAAAAAGGAACGAATAAATCTTTCCATTTATTACTTTTCCAATAAAATTGCATTATGGACTTAATTTTGATCTACGATGCAATAAAATCTTCTACAGTATTTCGTATCTCGTTTTATCGTCTGCGTTTCACTTGTACGCTTGCAATGTCCGTTTTTTCCAGCAAACAGGATACCTAACCGTGTCCTCTGGTGTACCTGACGGCCATTTTTCGTTTCACAACCTACCAATCCAGCGACCTTCGTTCTTCCTATTAAGAAAGACTCTAATTGTGCAGTTTCAGGTTTCCTTTCGTCTGTCGATACTTGGCATTGCTGCTTCAGTTTCCTCCACAAACTAAATATGGTGTTTGGATGAACCTCGAGTACCATTTTTCATTTCTGTTCTACTAATATCCTGCATATTTCTAGCTATTGAATATCCTATCGACAGTACCGACCCTTCGTTAATATAAAATATTTCTGTCGCTAATTCGAATAATCTCAAAAGTCTTTATCAGAAAAAAACATAAAAATGGCCCCACTCAATTTAAAGAACAATATTAACAAAATTTTTCCTGTAATTTTGAAGTACAGATCAAAATGATCCAGAATATTTCTGTTAACTTATTAATTCCGAAAAGAATTTTAATTTACAAGAAATTGTTTACATCCCGACAGTCTCTCGAAAAATTGGGAGCAGGATTCTTCGATAATGCGTCCATACCGTTTTACCCTTTATTACGTTTAAGTATAGCAAGTGACGAGGAAACCAGTTTTGAGCAAAAAAGGTGATCGACAGTTCATGTGAGCCCTGAAATGTATGGTAACCTCGAGACAGTAGAAATCAACCTTCGTTCAGAGGCATGCAACTTCTGCTACCTTCTTGGGAGACTTGAATGGCCGTCACGTACTACGAGACTCTATGTATACGCCAAAGGCTTACTACGTTTTAACACCGATTCGTTGTAACGTACGCGAGGAAAACATTCGTTGTCATGCGAGAAATGTACGACGTTTGTTTTATTGATAAAGGCGTTGTCTTGCGAGCAGATAAATCTTCCAATTGAGGACAAGGAATCCCCCGGAGGCGACCTAATGAAATTGCAAAAGTAACCTACTTCGAGTGCAATAATTCTCTGATAGCGTAAAAATAGATTTCGAAAAATGTGAAAGAAAAATATTGGACATTTTGAAAGACTTCGAACTAAGGTTCATCGTGTTTGTGTGTTGTCAATGTTTAATGTTACTTACCAATAGCTCTACTATGGATTAAAATTTCTCTTAAATCGATCAATTTTACTATAAGAAATGTTTAAACCACATTTTGAACAAAGTATTTTTATACTGAAAGAAAAGTTATTTCAAAATTTTTTTTGTAATTTATTAAAACTGAAACGTAAATTTTTACCAAAAATTAATAGTAAAAAAACAATAATGTTGACGTACCATAATTGTTGGTTTGCGTATTCTTCATATCACTGCCTGGTTGTGCAGCTATTTCGTTTCTTTGAAATACGTTCACGTTTTATATTCGTTAATGTGTTATCTGTAACATACGAATGGTGGAAAATGTGTCAGTTTTGTGTTCGCTGAATGAATTAGCCTAATTCTCATTCTGATCCAAAAAATGAAACATACCTTTAGTCTAAACAAAAATCAGCTTTTATTGTTTATTCCATTTTTAAAATGGCTAGACGCGCATGATAGACGAATAATTCTATAAATACTCGCGTGAACTTTTATAAATGTCTCTTCTCGTCTCGAGTTATGCGTCGATAGGAATATCAGGTTAGTCGAAACAACAAAAAGTTAACCTTAAAAATCAAATAAAACGATAATATCACGACAACGTTATTGTTATAACAAACAAATATTATTATTAGGTGATCAATAATCTTCGTCTTGAATACCATTATCTACTAGTATTGTTTACTACCAAGATGTTTCTTCCATTTGATTTATACTATGAACAAATTCTCTGATCATTCACACTTATCGTGCGTAATTGATTTGTGATCATTATCGAACCTGTTTACCTCGTCTAAGACGTATCCTACTAAGTGGTTTGGTCAATTGCAAAATACGCGATGCATTCAACCAGTCGTCGATTTTCCTGTTTGAATATATTTTTTCTGAACATCGCGTTAATTAATTGCTGTCATCGACACTGTCGTTGTGAAAAACTGAGATATTTGATTTCGTGAAATCAGTTTTACCGTAACATTCATCGAAATAATAACTTAAATATATTGTGCCAGTTTCAAATATATACACACGCCAAGATTAACAGTACTTTCTGATAATATAGGTCCAACTAGATAACCTTCGTCTCATTTTCAGCTTCAATAGTAGTTCATTGAAGAAGAAGAAAGAATGCTATTATTAGCAATGTCTGTGTCTGTTCAAATAAATTCCAAATAAAACACAACGTGGCTTATCTGCGTTAGGAGATAGCTTTAAAATAATTAGTCCTCGATTCGCCCAACGAATTAATTATTCGATGCTAATGAAATCGAGGATATGATTAATTAACCCTTTCTTACGATTTGACGTGTCCACATAATTGTGTATGCTGTGCATATACGCTCCTCGAAGCAGAATGAAACGAATAACACTTTTTCCAAGAACCAGCAAAGTCACAACAGTTTACAATATTTACCCATGGTATTAATAAAAAACAATATATCCTCCATCTATTGCATATAACGTCATCATAATTATTCTTATTCCTTACTAAATTCTTAAAGAATGCGTCCTTCGTTAACCGACACTTCGACTTCTGATGTAACGCACATAGAAATGTTGTTCCCACCAACTTCATATAAATCAAATGATAAGATAATGATTATACCAATTGCTATGCGTACATATACCAAAACGCATTAAAAAGAAACGAAGGATTGCTCAATGGCTAAACTCCCGTGACGATGATTCGTTCGATTATAAAAGCAACAAGCGTAAACGCCCGTACAGCCAAGGCTAACAAATGTTTCGCGACGACAATGTCCCAATCTCGTTGAGCACCATTCGCCGTTAAGTCACCGCGTTGACAAGATCGTTCGAAAGATTATCAAGGTGTAGAAACAAACAATTATGCATTCGACTGTTGATCACATTTGAGATTTCAACGTGGGGAATCGTGGTTGAGACAATGAGCGGTTGCCATTAGAAGAAAACAGGTCAACGTCAGGTGTACGACCACCTGGCCTGAAAATCATTAATATAGTCTATCCTCTCGCCACCCCAACTCAAGGGTTGAATACCCAGAATTTTACTAGCTCTCTCAAAATTCTTCACATCATCGAGAATAGAGTGAGTAAATAACTCCAAACCTCAACCCTTAATTTTTAATTTAATTTAGCCCTCAATTTTTAAAAAAATTGCTCGAATAAGGTCTAATGCAGCTCTAAACATGATACGAAGTTTCCTATTGAAGTAAGAACTGTTTTATTTTGAACTTAAATGTTTATTAACGTAGGTGAGGTTTCTGCAAACATTTTTAAGGGAGAGGAACAGCAAAGAAAATCGTGAATGCATATGTCGCGCAACCGTTTCGAAAACGCAGCCACGTAGCCACTTATTACTTCGTGATTACAGTCATAATCACGCACGATGCTAATTACGGTTACATCGAGCCGTCTGGAATCCCCGAGGCGACATCGATGTGCAATTCGAGCCAACGATTAGCGATTTTTCATAGACGCGTTAATGGTGATTCGCGAACGAGGAAAGCGTCGACTCGATGTATTTAGTAGTGTTTCACTCGTTAACTGTTAGCTTTCTTCCAGGTATTTGCATAAAATTTTGTAGAGCTTGTTGATGAAATTGATTAAAATATTTTTTTTAAATTACAATGATGTACTGTGATCCAAATGACGATCTAGGAAACCAATAAAAATACAGACTCCATTTTCTGTTTAAATAGAGAGTTAATTTTGATGGTAACTTATTCTTCTAAAAATATAACGCTATTAAATTTATAAGAAAAATGTAAAAATGAATTTCTTTCATTAAAAGTTTGTCTATTACAAACAAAAGTTTCGATATATCCTGAACTAATACTAAAAAAGTTTTACAACAATGCGGGTCGTATTCACATAAGATATTATTATTGCATGCAATACATTGCTGCAAGAAAATTAACGTAATGAAAGCAGAGAGCATTTTTTACGCTCGGCAAGCACTATGATTAACATGGCCGACGATCGTATCGCGACGAAGGAAAACGTTACCAACGGGGAACGTAATTTACGGTTTGGATTATAAAATTGTTATAATTTTACAACGTCATTATTCATTTCGTAGAAAGAAATCAAATTCATTTGGTTTTTCTTCTTACGAACAGGTACAAAAACCAACACGTATCCGAGAAAGTTGCAAACCTGCGATTCAGTTTACTTTTCTTCAGAATGGAACTGCACGATTTGCAAGAAATTCATTTATTGAGTATTTTATTAGTCTAATTGAAGAAGAAATTTAATTTACCCAGCCTTTTTTATAAAGTTTTTCTTTTAAATTATACAAAAGTCATTTGTAAGCATTTTCATTCAATTTTCTTCAAGAAGCAATAAATTTTGAGAATGAAAAAACATTTCGACACGTTGATGCAATAAAATAAATACACTACAAAACATGATGTAATCGTAGATAACAAAATGAAAAATATGAATGATCAAGCACTTTCTTTTTGTTGATTTTATCTTATTGCAGCCGTTAATACCAAATATTTTGTGTCACGATGATCGATTACAAACACAATCATCGACACTGATTGCTTTATATTTGTGCGAGAAGAAAAATTGTTGAAAAAATAAAAATAAAAAATTCTTAGTATTAAATGTATTTATCAATTTGTGTTGTTTAATTTTGCATATTTATGTCTTGATCGATGACTTACTGTAATTATTATTTTGCTATTAATAACTAAATTTATTCTGAAATAATTTAAATTGCAAAAACCTGTACCAAAGTTTACAAACTAGCTTAAACGACATTTTTGTATGAAACTTACAATTAGTTAATGAAGTATAAATTATCGAGTGTGAAAAATTCATTGCGAATCACCCTACATAATGATGCATTCGTTAAGGGTAAATGTAACAAAAATATAGTAACAAACATTACTCAGCGAGATTAATGGCGATAAAAATTACCACCAAGCATCAATTAATAATCTGAGAAATCACATTCTGCAAAATAAAACTATTTTAAGTAACCGTATAAAATAGAGAGCAAAAATCACTATCACTCACTGTACATTTGTACAGTTAATATCATAATGAAATACTTTTTTTTCTTATCGCGATCATTACTTACGAAGCATACTCTAAAAAACACATAGTAACTTCTCGATCATACCATGCAACTAATCCATCATTCACGTATCTCTGTAATACTTGTCTCATAAATCCATCATGATAACAAAAAAAAAATGTTAATGATCGTTATGAACGAATTCTTATGTCAATTCGAAGTACCATGATTATCCGTGACATCTTAAGTAAGATAAAATCAACTTTTAACGAATTCAAAAGGATAACGTTGTTACTCTTTATCGTATTCGCAAAACAAACGCAAGAATATTTTTAGAAACAATCGTGAATTAAATATTCTTTTACAACGTAAACGTTCCAAGAAATCAGGAATTAATTATTCGTCGGTTAAGTGCAAGAATATGAAGACTGCACTTTTCGATGATCGACGCAAACGCCCTCTACGAATTAATGCCTACAGTTTAATTACATTTATAGGATAGTTTGTTCTAAACGTCGTATTGTTGATAATATATAGTTATTTTCCCACGTATTGTTTACCTATTTAATTCGTATATCTTTATGTGTACAATAAACTAATATTCTAAAGTTAAATCCTGCGTACTGTAGCCAAAAATAAACTATCCGGATACGTTCTTAGCAAGGCAGTGTCAACGTTGTCTAAATAAGGATAAATGGAAATACAAATACACATAGAAGTGTACACGACAATTTCAAGACGCACCTGCATCTGTTTGATGTTCACCTACTCTCAACAGTCTCGACAACTAAAATTTATATCCATGAAAATGCATTTTTTTGCCATTACTCTCATAATTTTAATGCGTCGATTTTTATTATCAGTGCTTTTTATAAATATCGTTTTACTGCGTTAAAATTTCATTAATGTTGAAAGATATGTGTTAATATTAGAAATAAATAAATAATGACATGTCTATTATTTCAGTGATAATTTTTTAATAATATTAATTATAAGTCCCTTTGTTTTTAATTTCATTTACAAAAATTTACTAAAAATTGAGACGTTCCGGTGCTTGTATCCAACCGTCTGTTATTGTTCCTATCCCTCAGTTACTGTAATAAGAAAAGATACTCGCGTAACTATTTTTGATTCGTTCATTTAACGAGCGTTGCTTCTGTTCAACTTCTTCTATGAAGCATCCTATATCCATCATGTGCCGTGTGTATAACGCAATGAATATCAGCACGTGTAAGACGAGAACTAGAGGCATTGATAGAGGCAAAAGCGCCGACGTCGTGTCATAAAGTACATGCATACGTTCAATTGATTGCATTAAGAACGGAGCAATTTCGTTAAGCGTCATTAAAGCGCCGACACGTAATTATTTTCGAAATTACTTCGAAAAGAAACGTCGCGTCATTTATAAATTTCTGCTTTTCCAAATCTTCTGAGAACTGCCATTTTATTTACGAAATTATTGCACTAGGAAATCATAATTGTTAGTTACGTTGATAAAACTGTGTACAAAATTATCTTATTTCACAATTTTTATATTATTATATCCCAAATATTGATAAATAATATCAATCTGAAACTACGATACTATTATAATATATCAAGAAACTTCGTTCTTGAAACATGACTTTTCAAAATTTAATTTCTTTCATATCTACTACTTCAAATGGGTGATAAAAAAAACTCTGTTTAAAAACGAAACAAAAAATTATGTGATGATTAAGATTCTTCGAAATTATTTTATCATTAAAAAAAATAGAGAAAATATATATTTTTCATGTACAATGTAATCCTAAGATTTATTCAAAACGTTTTTTAGAAAATCGGAAGACTGCAAAAGTTAACGTTATAATTAAAATTTAATCGTGTAATACGAATATAGAAAAGTGGTAAATCTCGTTCACCAAGAAATACAATAATAGGGAAAATGCCATTCGTATTTAATAAAACTAGAAACATGTTAACGAGAGCGTTTCATTTTATCGGCATATGTCGGATATAAACGGAAACGTTTCCTTGTCGAATCGATTATGTAAACAGAAATTTATTACGTAAACTATCGATATAACGAGGAAAGGGAATTATTGTACGTTCGAAGGAAACAGAAGACCACCTAACATCGCTCGAGAAAGTTTACGACAGCATTGAACTTGATCCACGGTTGCATTTTGGCTGCAGTCACTGCGGTCGGATCAACTGCGCATATTTTTTGGCCCGTTATTCTGTCAAAAGCAACAGGCTAAAAAATATTATAAAATAACCGTTGAAATTCGCGGGCTGCAACCCGAATTGGCATAATTTTCAAATTACTTTCATTAGTCACGTCCACCAATACACGAAGGACCCACGGTTGAAAAAAAATGGAATATCAATTTATAGGAATTTATTTTTTAATGCAATGCAATATTTAATCAAAATAAAAATTCTATTCTTCGTTTTAGTATCATCTACACTTGGAAAACTTTAAAAAACAAAAACTATTTTTATTCCAATTTTTTCATTGCACGTCTTGACTTCTTATAATTATGGAAGTCAGAAACAGGCGAAATTAAATGCAACATAGTAATAAAATACACGTAAACATAAAACAAAAAATCAAAACTCGTTAAAATTGACATTTCCCCTTTTTTCTGTGGAATATTTCCAATATGGATTCGAGTCATTAATTTTATAATAATTTGTATAAATTGCTTTCAATAATAAATTATTCCAATGAAAATAGATAAAAATTCTCTCGTTTAACTTTCCACGTAATTGTTTAATTCTAATATTTTGTTAGTACATATTTTTATAAATTACTGAATGAAAGATAAAACTTCAATAACTGCACCAACTACATTCCCTCTCTTATTAATTTTAAAATAATTTTCTGAGGCCTTTTAATTAATTTTTAAATACTTCTCAACAATTTTATTCGATTGATAACTATTTCGAACAAATTGCCAAAATTTCAAAAAAATATTTCAGAATATTAACAACCTATTGGGCAGTTTTAAAAATCTTGCCAATTGTAAAAACAAGTGAAAATAATGAAAATGCAACAATTGAAACATTTTCAAGATATTTAAGCTACTTACACTGTCAGAGTTAACAATAGAAAATCAAGTTTTCAAAATAATAATTCAATGATTCCATTTTATTTCTGGCCCTGATCGTAACAAAATAATGGAAATTAAATGATACACTTATGATTGGAGGTAAAACTCTTAATTAATTGCTCTTTGAATGTTAAATCAGATCATTACAAGTTACAACCATAGAAATACTTATTCTCTATTTCTTCAATTTTAACATTCATTTTCCAATTAAGAAACTAACGAAGAAAAAAGTCTCGTTTGCAGTTTTACTCTATCCCAATTTCTCTGCTTAGAAATTTCGGTTCGCGTGGAAAATTGGCAGATATTATTTGCGCGAAATATGTATAAAAATCAAGGTTCCTCGACATAACACAACAACCGCGTGTGAGAACGCGTGGGCGTTGAAATGCCTTTCCAAACAACGCGTGCGTAGAATGATTCATGAAACAGTTTTCCGACGATTTCGAGTTTACAGATGGCTATTTTACGGGAAGTTAAATGTTACGCGACTCGTTTGAAACGCATTCTCTCACCGCAATAGAAACAAATTAAAATAACAAACAAAGAATCAATACAGATAATAAACAAATATCCAAGATCTTCGAAAAATTTACAAAGATCACGAATGTTTAAAAAAAAAAACTGTTCTTTTTATTTTCTATAGTATTTAGAAATACTTCCTTATTTTCAAAAATACAAAATTATTGTTTCTTGCGTCTATCATTCGACGAATTTTTTACGAACAGACAATTCAAAAAGCTGTGAAAAATAGATCTTATCAAAAGTGTTCAAACAAGATCTTCGTTAGTTCTTGACCTTGCACTAAATATTGAATCACCTTAATCTCGAGATTATGTTTCGCCAGCGATAACACAAAGGCACAGATAAATTTTGAAACAACCGCCAAAGCGCAAATTGGGATTAAACGAACAAGTATGGGGAATCATTTACGCCGCCGTCTATCAGAGCGTATTTTTAACGCCGACATCTGTTTCGTGTGCATCAACATCTACTTCTTTTTAAACAAAGTGTTTCGTACGAGTCCCTCTAACTATACACTTCGATAAAATATTTCCAATTGATAGTAATATTGTATGCAGTATTAACAACAGATTCGATATTTTAGAGTAATTGAACGTTCGTCGATTGGAACCGTTTAATAACCATCTTGCAATAAATTAGGGTTACCATTACGAGCGTGACGGGTCTTTGATCTTTCGGACATATATTTCTCAACGTAATCGAACGCATGTGTTTCTCACATTCGTGTACGAAACATTACGATATAGACTGTCAGATAAGTAACGTCGTGACGTCGCTGTTATCTCCTCAACCCACAATATTTAATACGTATTAATGGTTTGCAAACGAATGATTGACGATTTTACAATGCACGGAAATTTGTGTTTCGTAACTTCTAATCCTCTTCGTTGAGGCTTAACGGAACAAATATTTCTCGGACAAACGAATGCACGAATGTTATTGTCTGCTTCGAGAAACGCAGAAATGCGTCTCGAAAATTCGAAGTATTTCATAAATTTGCGCGACTCGTATTTGAATTTATATGTCTTATTTATTCGAAACACACAAGACTGTATTTTGATAAATATTCGACCTTTTATTGTACTATTTACTGAAGTTAATATTTTATTTTAAAAACAAATTTATTATTATTATTATTTAACCAAAATTTAGGTTTAAAACTTGAAACTAAAATTTGTATTATGCCACTTATAAAACATTGTTTTTGTTCGTAAAATTACTATTTTATTTAGCCCTTTAGCGCCTAAATAAGGAGGACATTCTTACCCAGTGATTTTTAAATTCCCGCCGAAAAATCTATAATCGATAAACAAGGTCTCTGAAACCGTTTCAAGTGTTGCATCTTTTTAAACGATTTTTTAAATAAATAATAATCTTTTTATCACTAAAGTAAGACAAAAATAACAAATAATTCAAACATGATAATTTAATTTAAGTTTCGTGCTACTAATTAGGAAATACCTAAAATACTGATTCTTTTTAATTTACTTTATTTGTACTTCCGAGAACGGGAGCAATATAATTATATTTCTATTTCTATTTGTATGTTACTGTTAGCATCGATATGTAAAAAATGAAATAAATTGGTTAAACACATTTTAATACTGAGACACCCAGACTGTTAAAGAGAAAAATGATTCTAGAACTGTCAAAAGCGATCGTCAACGGTGTTACGTGGTTTAAAGAGACGTTAAAAAAGCTACTTATCCCTTACCTGTTTCTTGCGTCGAACAGGTGTTTCCGCGAGATTTCCTTTCGATCACAGACGACCGCCAAGATTCACTCCACTTTTCCGTCGCACCTCGTGTAACGATACTACATCGGGTAACGATACTACTCCAAACAGTCTAACACGTCATTCGAGCTGATCAAATCCTAATAAACGTTGAACCGATTCCCGCCAAACTAGTGCCTCGATAACAGTCGAGAACGGTCGATCTTTCATTCGAGTATAATTTGATTAAAAAAAAAAAAGAGAAAAAGAAACTATCCAACAGACTAAGTTTTCAAAAACTCGTGCAACGACTACTTTTAGAAAAAAGAAGAAAGAGAGAGTTTGAACAGGATCGCAGAGGTTGGATCGGAAGAAGGATTGGGAACAATCTCGTTGTCTGCGACTGTGAGTCGATTGTAGTCCCCGGATTCAACGAAATCTATTCAAGTTTTCCGAGAGTGGAGTGGCACTGCGTCGCCCATGTGTCGTGCGCGAGCTACGGCGATCGAATAAAATGCGAGAAAAGCGTTTGCTCGCGCGTGGTGCTCGTGTGAAACTGACTAGCCCGCTCGCCCGATCGTGCGACTGACTCGACTTCGAGGTCCATAAATATGTACGCTCGCAATGTACGCACTGGCGTTCCCCGTTCCTGGCGAACACTAGGGACGAGACGTCAGATTATGATGATGGTCATTCCGTACAACCTGTTACACATTTTTAACGCGACTCCATTCACTTGCGTCAGTCATGGTATGCCAAATCACGCGAAAATAGACTGCAATCTCACCCCCGACGAACTACTCAACGATAATGATTAGACAGATGTTTATAGGGAATAAACGAAGGTATGGGTTTTAGACAGAAAGGGTACAATCGAATAAGCATGATAAAAATGCCACTGAACCAAATATTAACTCACTATCCCTACTATTAGAGTAGTTACGAGACATAATTTACAGTTAAAGCTCCGTTTCTTTTGTTGATATGGAATAAAAAATCATGGGCATTCTGCCTGAAGGCATATACGTGTCTGAATTTGTCCAGAATTTTTTATGAAAAATTAAAAGAAGGAAAAACGTTTGAAAATGCCGATTTTATATTGAAGTTATCATAGTGGCCACGTTTATATTTTGTAAGTTTGAAGAAAAAGGGAAAATTTAAATAGCAATAAGAGTAAACAGAAGCGAGTGACAATGTTTGGGGACATCTTTCAAGATGAGTTTGTATCAATAATCGTCATAAAAAATCATAGACATTCTGCCTGAAGGCATACACGTGTCTGAATTTGTTCAGAATTTTTGATGGGAAATTACAAGAATGAAAAACGTTTGAAAATGCCTATTTTATATTGAAGTTATGATAGTGACCACGTTTATATTTTGTAAGTTTGAAGAAAAAGGGAAAATTTAAATAGCAATAAGTGTAAACAGAAGCGAATGACAATGTTTGGGAACATCTTTCAAGATGAGTTTGTATCAATAATCGTCAATATTCTTGGCAGGATAATTTTATAAACGCTATTGAGGCCAAATGAAGATGAAAATGTGTAAAATAAACAAACGTTGAATATTTCTCTCTATTTCATTAATTCTCAATGTTTCTGTTGCTTGCAACGCGATCAAGCTTAACACAGATAACATTTAACAATTTCCAGTGCCTCCCTCGATAACGTTCGCGTCGGACTCAAGCTGGCGAACGATAACGAGGGATCACTGTATTTCATGAATTGAAATACACGAGTCCCCGTCACTGTTTAGCGATACTCGAATAAATCTTTATCCAAATAAGGAATAACAAATGAAACCTTATTTTTATGTTATTTGCATATTTCCCATGGTGTTTTATAAATAAAATTACACCAAAATTTCTATAAACATCGAAGATGGCACTCGAGTAAGAGTTACTTTTAAATTCGTTAAATTAACAATAACAAAAATGAGATACTCCATTTTAAATTAACCAATCTCTGTCTAATGTCACCAAACCATTGCTCGTTCAAACGTTCAGATTTTTCTAAATCGCAATAAAATTCGCATAAATGCTTTGAACGTTGCATTGACAGAACTGTAATTATCTATCTTGTATGCAAATGCAAACAGGAAAATGCACGTGTTGACTAACGTTCGAGCGTTTAAAGCATAAGCATCATTGCAATGCAGATGTGTCTCGATTATCCCCAATTAAATTGACACTCCTAAAACTACGTACGTACGTTCTCGAAGGGCAAGAAAATACAACGTGTTAAACAATTTACTAATAACTGTACGAATTAGATTGATTGACAATTAGTTTGTTGATAACCGTAATCGACATCAACGATTCTCCACTGTGCTTCGACGACAGAATACAAAATGGAGATGCATTTGTTCATTCTACTACTGTCTTTGTTGTAACAGATTAGACCATCGTAAATAACGAAAATGCTATTTATTTAAAAACTTTATCATACCCTATTATTATATTTACTTCTGTATTATTCAAAATGCATTTTAACTCCTCAGCTAGAAATTGGACCCAAAATAAATTTTTCTACCCAAAGCAGAGCTCCTGAATTTGATCCTAAACCAAGTTTTATAACTTTCTGAAATGTTGATTTCATAAAATATTATTAGGATGTTAGAACACTGTATTAGAATTTTAATGATGGTATCAAAAATATTCTTTTTCAGCAGTGAATTAGTTTTAAAATTGACAACTGCAAACCGTCTTGTTGAAAACATTAAAAAAAAGTTTGGTCTCTTCGTGTTTACTTTGTACAAAAAATGTAATATTATGTATTTAATGTGAAAATAAACTTCTGCAACCTGTCGAGGGACAAAGTCATTCGAGTAATCGTCCAATTATTCTGATAATTTTCGCTATTAATTTCTACGGTTCGAGGCCAGAAATTTGTGCGTCTCTGTGTAATCGTAACAAAAGTTTAATGACCCGTTAAGTTTTAGAAGTCTCCTGAGTAGGATGCGAGTTAATGCAATAATGCTCGAATTGCCACTGTTCAAGTGTCGTTGTAATCTCCGTTAAATTGTTTAGAGCGAATCGGCAGTTGTTCTCCTTTCCTGAACATTTGTCAGAAAGCTAAGAACGCATCCGTTATGTTCTGCAAAGGAACTGTACATTGAACTTTATATTCTGCGCGCAACTATATCTTGCGTAATTCTGCAATATACATACACTGGATGCATGATTGTATTTGAACGCTTGCAGTGAAAACATTTAATGAATAGATTATGCAAGCTGGCAGAAGCCTTAAAAATACCGTAACGATGCTACAAAGAACAACTATCGAGTTTGGTAACTAAATCTCGAGAATCGCTAGTCATCGAACGTTTATAAATATTTATTAATTATTATTACTATATTAATATCCTCTTAACTTATTTAGTACGCAATATACAAGGTGTGTCACGTAAAATTGACCTTGATAGGACCTTGAATACAGAAATCTACAGAAACGTTAATACGGAATAGTATTTCACTATCAGACTGAGACTGTCAATTACCTCAATAACAAATTTAAAAACGATTGGTTGGTGACACACGAGATCCGATTCTTTGGCCACCGCTTTCTCCAGACGTATCTTCCATGGACTTTCATCTTTGGGGATATCTGCAGACTATTGTTCACGAAAGACCAATTAATAGTAGTCAAGAACTCCTTAATTGATGCGACAACTACAAATGTAGTGCAAAGAGCGGATCTCTGTATCGCAAAAGATGAATTGCTGTTCGAACATAGGTTGAAAAGTAATTTATTTCATTCGTGTGTACCGTTTGTGTCTATCATTCGTGTTATTGTAAGTTTTATTATTGCAAGTTTAGTAGTTGTTTACGTTTATCTTAAGTTGCATGATTCTTTGTTGCAGCGTTTTATGCAGAACGGAATTATTGTTATCGTTGAATTTCTTTGATAATATTATTAGTCTGGCAATGTTGGTCTTAGTTTGAACACGTAATTTGATTGAAGTAAAAGAATTCTCCATTTTAATTTTTCTGTTGATCAAACCCATTAATACCAACTTGTTTTGAGGTCAGTTACAGCTTTGTAAAGTCAACAGTATGAAGTCACCCCTGACTTTTTACTGAAAAAAATGTTTTTTGGTCATTTGTAAAATATTTCTTTGATAGATTAGTCGAAGTAAGTATAAACACGACTGTATTCTGGCTACTTTTATTCATATATAATTCATATAACGTACAAGGAAAAATAATCTAAATGTTGTCCAATCCATTAATAATACTGGCATGACAATACAAATAACAAATATAAAAGCATAACAATTTACGTTTTATGTAAGGATTGCTGTAATTCTGCAGAACACGACAACTATGTACAGCTTTGATGTTCTCGAGCTTACACAGAATCATATAGATCAAACATTCATATGATCTTATATTGAAACATTATCAATTAATATGAAAAATTCGATAAAATAGTTAAACAGTATTAAACAAAATTTAGAAAATATACCGGGAAGTGTCAATGATATTATACAATAATGTAAGGTTTATTTATTATAAGATTTGTAGTTATTGATTATAAGTACTGTACACCCACTGTATTAAATTTCATTCCTTGAAATAATCTTTTCATATCTTATTGATAATCTTTACCTTATCATTCGATAAATAATTGAACAAATATTATTTATCCACTATTCGGCAAATAAAGAATTCGACGAAATTTACTTTAACTACCGACAATACGAAAAATTAATTATGACGAATTAACTGTCATAACATTTTAATGTGTAAATTTAGTCATGTTAACCTTTAATGAGAAAGGTTTAAGATCCTTCTCTTAATAGCCTCGTTGAGCCAATTTGCACGAAAGAAGCATCTAGAAACATGAACGATAAAGGAACCACGAAGGCTGAAATTGTAGGGATGTGTGCTCGTCTTGCACTTGCAAGAGAAGAATAGAATAATCCCGGATATGAGTTCAAATGGTTTAATCTCTTCCAGTAGCTGCGTAAAAATTGTGTTTACAGCACGCACAGAAAGAAGCAACGAGTAATAGTATTCAAGATCATTATTTTGTTGAATACTTACATCTTTAATTTTGTTATAAACAGTAATAAATGCTAAACATTAAGGAACGAGTGACAAAAATTGTAAGAAAAGTATCATTATTGTGAACAATATTAATTCAATACTATCGGAATACATTTCAAAATCAAATTGCAAATAAACGAATTTTATAACTATATGCATACGTAAATACATTTTATTATGATCTCGAATGAGTTAAAAAATTTCTAAATATTGTGCATTCACTTTGAAAAGTTGATTACATACCAAGTAATTAAGCTTATTCTGTAATAAATGAAAATAGAATTAATTAAACTACAAACTATCCTTTCCTATAGATTGAAAAGTGAGAAAGAGTTCTCACTAAACAAGTCCTTAAACGTGTTACTTTTTGAAATACCATCTACTTCTACTTCTCGTCATAAAATCGAAACGAACGTCTACTTCAACTAGTGCTATACGTATTGATAAAAGGAATTTCGAAACAATTTATCACGAATAGAAGTCGAAAGATGCTGACTTGAATGGAATATTTATGAAATAATATAATCAAACACCCTGA